ATTTTATATTTATTTTCTTAACATAAATTATTAAAAATCATAAATATTATCAAACAGAATAACAACGAAATAAATATAAAGAATGACACATCTTATTCAGAGAAGTCTAGAGACTATTAACGAAAGGGAGATTTATAGTGTAAAGCCTGGCAATACAACGTGCTTTGACCCCTCAGACACAATCGAAAGCATATTGATCGTTTTATGTTTCTTTTCGCGTGGCACGAGCTGTTTCTTTCTTCATGAAGTTTATTAATAATTTGTTTTTCAAAAACCGTGATTATTTTCACCTTTTCAATTTATTTATTTAATCATCAATTTCTATGATTTGTGAACTGCATATTTAATAACAGAAAAAAATACATAAATAAATTTTTTAGTCTATTAGATTATTTTATTAAAATTATTATTATTGCTAAATGAATTTTGCGAGAAATTATTGCATATTACATATATTAAATTATCAGACAATAATTACGCGATTAATATAAAATAAGTTTGTACATGTTAATTTAAATATAAATATAAAAATATTGGTCATAATAAAATATAATACAATAAAATTTAAAGAGTTATGTAAAATTTAAGAATTACGTATAAAATTTAAAAGTTATTACGTTAATAATATTAAAAGAATTATTTATTAAAAGATGACTTTCTTTTAATATTATTTCTTTTAATATTATTTTTAGACAAAAGCACCGGCGTCGAACAACAATCATACTACGCACAATCCAACGTGTGAGAAGTTGGTGCAGAAACCCCTGCCCCCTGGACCAAGGAAAACTGTGATCCAGGCCTCCACCTCAGAATTGCTCAAGTGCCTCGGCGTCTTCCTGCACAAGAAATGCACCCGCTTAAGGGACTTCCAGGCCGGCGACGCTGTCATGTGGCTCAGAACTGTTGACAGAAATCTTTTGCTTCAAGGCTGGCAGGTGAGTTCGACAGAAAGCTTCTTAAAATTATTATATGTACATGTTTTTAATTAAAAATTATAATATAAATATTTATATTATATAATTTGAATATATATTAAGATTGAAAAAGGATATATTGTTACATCAAAATTTTTTTACACTTTCATTCGGGAAGTCAAATAACACGTATTTCTTTTAAGGATATTTAATGGAAAATAAGGAAAAGAGAATATATAAAATGTTTAATGACTGTTTCAAGAATGAATTTTTTAAAATACTTGAAATAGTCCTATAAAATATCTCTGCTTGATAATAAACACTTTTTTATCTTTTTAAGGTAGTTAATGTACTTCGTGAAATATAATATAATCATTCACGGATACTGGTTCGATCTTATAATTAATATATTACTCCCGCGGTTATTTCGTTCTCGTAATAATTGGGTAATTAAGATGCACCAGCAGCACGGGGTAATTAACTCTTGCTGATTAAACTGCTATGTTTAACGTCGATATATGCATACACAAAATCGATGGTCGTTGAGCAGCAAGTATGCATATATCTAAACAAAAAAAAGGATCATTAATATAAGGCTAATATATTATATAAGGCTACACAAAGCAATACGGCTGTTATACTGACTCGTAATGATCGGTGATATTTTGAAATGGAATTGTGATCCAAATAAAAAATACGGATGTTTGTTTTCGACGCATTAAAAGATTTTGATTCCCTAAAGGGACTGTCATTACAAGCGGGATGATAGTCCACACGTGTCATGCAGGAGCAGAGCTTCGTTCATACTGGATCCTTCGGGATGCATGCAGTGTCCCATGGGAATACGCATAATAAAAGTCACTCAGGATACGCTGGTCGCAATATGTTAGAAAGGGAATTAAACAAACTTTTCATAGGTCAAAGCCGGATGTTTCCATCTGGATGAGTCGTATATAAATTATGCGAGTTCACTTATATTTACATCACAATAGGAAAGAGTAATATAGGAAGAGTAAATTACAATAATGCGTTATGTTTATATATAATATTTTTTTCTGCAGAGTTAAAGAAGAGTTAAAGAAAACGAATAAGCAAAATAAAATTTCTGAAAATTAGGTGTATCTTAGTATATCTGTCTAGTATATCATCTTTGAAGAATATCACGTTGCTAAATAAAATATATTTTTCTTGAGGAATAAAGTTTTACAACGCAGTCAATTTTTTTTCTAAATTTATATTAAATTGGAAATTTATTTGAAGAGTAAAACCACTTCCAATATTTTTCTCTTTTTGCGAAATAAAATATAACCGTGACTTTAAATCTTTTACGTTTTTCTTCGGTGTAACTGAATTATACCAGAATTTGCTCTCAGCAAAGCCTCCTTTTTTTATTTCTTTTCTATTTTGACGGATATGGATATGGCGGATTTGATCGCTTTCGACAAAATTGACTGTTATACCTCTTCCATAAGAAACGAATACGAACGATCAATCAAGAATGTTTTGCTTATGGTTACAGTCGGTGCCGGTTCTTGATTCGATTATGAATTTAACGTTTATGCTAATGGGACTACCGTGCGCGATTGCGACCTATGCAAATTGTACGGCCCCTATAAGACTCACCTTCTCCGCGCGTAGAAGCTATCGATCAAACTAAAAATATTTCACTCCGATAATCAACTGACGTAGATGGCCGCTGACTTAAAAATACGATGAAACTATTAATAATACAATGCAAAAATCTGCGTTGTTGTTTATCCACTTTGTGTCTTCATGTATTGTATCATTCGCATGCCAGATTAATTTTTTTTTTTTTTTTTCCCACTAAATCGCATTTTTCCCAACAAATGATACGAGTGAAACATTCCTACATTTTTTTTTAATTTGATCAATCAAGTTGTTTTATGATAATTGCTTTAATTGAATTTGTTGCTACAAAGAAGCGTGCACCGTGCATATTCTCATGTATTGCAAAAGACAAATTTTTTTAAAAATATCACAAAGGCCTTTAATGATTTATTATTGGGTGTGCTTTTTTTAGCAAATAAATTTAGTCTAAACATTTTTGGTGAATGTGTGTATTATAAAATTCAACGCAATTGTTTTAGTGGGTAAGGTAATTAAATTTTTTTTAATCGTATTGTAAAAGAATTAGCTTGTGCGGTTGAAAATGTAAAAATGACCGGTTCAGACATGCAAAGTGACAAAAATAAATATATGAAAAAGTCCCCCGACGTGTGTTACCGCGGTACGGACAGCTTAAAACGCGTGTGCGCCGCTACGCCATGCACGAAAGGGTCAATTATCTGTCGATCAAATCGGCAACAATTTTTTTATTTTTTACGTTATGACGAAAGTCGCTATCGATTGGCGTATCGTGCAACCTTCAGCGAGCCGCAGTGCTCGGGAAGTTTCATGGAAAATAGCGCGAAGTGCGCCAATAATAATTCCAGTCCACTGCGATGGGCGATTTTCTCCGTCTCCGGCCGGTGGGTGGGACTTTTTTCATCGTGAGTGACGTTCCAATTGTTGCGAACAGTTGCGCGTGTCGGCATCGACCGACACGTTTATTCTTGGATTAACGTATCTTTGAAGAATTTCTAATAATTAGATTCGTTAATGTTCGAATGAGCGAACAGCGAACACGTGGCTCGAGGTTTCACTTCAAATCTAATCTTTACATCTGCCTCTAAAAATTTTCAATCAAAATCATTTCAATAATAGTCGTTGGATGTCCAAGTACAAAAGATATAATAAATTTGTCCTTATCTTATTTAAGATATTTGACAATTAAGATATTTGACAATCTTAGTATTCTTTTGTGTATCTTGTTGCACATACATATATAGCATAATATTAAAATAAGAAAAAAAACATATATTTGTTCTTTCTCTCTCTTTTTTTGCAAAATCCATGCAGTTTACAAGCCTTCAGATTGAGAGAAACGTAAATGTTACTTCCACGACCCACGGCACGATTTTGCTCCGTATTTATTTCCGAGAATTTATGCAGCGTATTTTGTCATTTGCGACAATTTGCAACGTATCGCAACATTCGCGTGTTCAACTCACTTTGCAGGGAGGCGTCGAAAACGGTCCATAATAAAGTGTCTTTGCGTGGACACGCTCCCTATAACGTCCCTGCGACCACCGACATCGATTTCTCATGTCGATAAATTCACACATAGAATCGCTGCAAGGGCGAACGTGATAACGGCGGTCTCGCATCCAATATCTGAAAGGGTTCGAGTTATTATCTCGATGCCCAGAAAATGGTCCACTAATGATCGAGATTGTCTTTTTCCGCCTGATTGTGTGTTCACATTTTTATCGAGAATCATATTTTTCTGTGTTTTCTGTGTCTTTTTCAAGTCAAGAGTTTTTCAAGTCTTTTTTTCTGGAAGATGAGGTACTTTTATATAGTAAAATAATTAACGGAATATTTATAAATAATTCTATGAAAATATATGTTTTTCATCGATATCAAATTAGATATACACATTTCCATTTATTTAATCAATTAGAATGATAAAAAACAGTCTATTTTTCTGTGAAAACTTTGCAGAACGCTTTTGAAATAATTATTATTACTATAAATATAAAAATATCGATAAAATGTACATTAGATAAATTGTCAGTCAAATGTCACAGAAACGATTAAGGATTAATGAAACAATTAATTATTTATTTCTTGCCTTCAATGTAATTTACAAAACGATCTTAACATTTTCACGTTTTCTTAATTGCTAAAGATAATCTTACATTTAATTATATACATTAAAAGTCATATACATACGAAACTCAATACTAAATTATTATGAATAAAAATATATTTGCATTTTTATATTTTTTGAATAAAATATAATATTATATTATATACGTTTTCAGAACATAAGATTTATAATAAAGATATGAAATAAATTATAATAAATTTTAAAGATATGAAATAAATTTATAATAAATTTTTACTTAAAAAATTA